TATGAACTTTTCTTGACTTGACTCTTAACTTTCCTTGAATTGAATTATGGATTCAAGGATTGTGATTTGTGATAGGAGAGATCTCATGATGTTTATGAATGATTTTAGATAGCTAAACATGAGAAATGATCAAGAAAAACATTGCCAGGAAACTAGTCCGCGACGTGGAGGCACATTAAAATATTTGGTGGCGAAATAACTTTTGTGGCAGTAAGGTCCGTGACCGCTTCGCGATGCGAGGATGAATTTTTCGAAACTGTGGGGGAGGTCTGCGACGTGGCCTAGGGCACCAGATTTGCCCGATTTTTTCCTTCTTTCGTTTTACAGTCCCAATTCACCCAAACTCGACTATTCTTCTCAATTTTTCTTTAGATTCAGATACCCAGTATGTATACACAAGAATCTAACTCAAACAACTCAAGGAAACAACATTTTAACCTCAAGGAACTCCTCAATCTCAAGCTAACTCAAGAACAAAAGCCAGTTTCAAGAACACCGTTCAAGATTCATCAACTTTCAACTTTCTAGAACAAACTTCGCTGAAATAAACATGATTGGCGCGTGGGTGAACGAACCCAATGTTATGAAAGACTCACATACCTCTTTAGGGATCAACCCTTGTCGAAATCCACAAGCTAAACCTTCAAGAACGATGAACTTTGCTCTTTCTCCTCTTTTCTCCTCTTGTGTTCTTTTCCAAAATTCCTATCGTAAATTTCCAATTGTCTAAATTGAGCCAATTCAATTTAGAACCCAATTTAATTGCTAAAAGTGAATTAGCTTAATTGGGTGGTGAAAAGACCATAATGCCCTTCTAAAATTCGAATTGGACTTTCCTTATTTGAACAGCCCAACTTCCAATGGGGATAACTCACTCATACGAACTCGAAATCGCGCAAACTTGGCGGCGTTGGAAAGACTAGTCCAAGATCTTTCCTACGATATCTAGAAACACACCTAACTCATCCTGAGCTAGGAGTTATGGTTGTTTGAAGTTGACTAAAAACTCAAACTTAACTTAACCAATTTTCCATATTTTTATTATTTCCAATAATCACTCTTTCTAATTCTAGCTCTTTATAGTTCTTTCAATTTGCGAGATGTTACATACGGATCAGATATTTTATTTAAAAGAGGTGTATTCATTTTTTAATATAAATAAATGACATGTGGTAATTAAAAGGGGATGTGACAATTTCATTTGTTATTTAAAGAAAAGAAAAATGAGTTGGTTATTTCCAACAAAGCAACTAACGTCTACAAGGGCATATATGGGCGAAAAGTTGGACGGCGAGGGCACAGATGAGCCAAACTTCAAACATAGTGTATATCTAGACATTTTCGCATAGTTTAGGGGCATATTTGACTATTTTCCCAAAAATATTTTAAGATGCAAAGTTGTATCTTTGTTTCTGTAGGAAACTTTTTACTTTTTCTATAAATAGTACTTCTTTTATTTTAATTTATATGTCTGATTTTGACTTGACACACTATTTGAAGTTTGATAAAAATAAAAAGTGAAAGAGACTTTTGAATCTTGTAGGCTTAAACTAAAGATTGAAACGAACAGTATTATCTTTTTATTTATTTTTAAGAAGATTTGTAATAATCTTATTATTGCTAAAAATATATATATATGAAAATCGTCAAATTTGAGATCTAACACAAATGCCTTATTTTTCAATGCATAGAGTCGCGCCTATTGAAAAATCAAAAACAAAAAAATAGAATAAGTTATTTGAATAGAATAATGTACACCCTACTTGTTATCCTATTTTCACAGGCAATAACTGTTGTTGCTGATGTTAATTTTTGAAGAAAAAAAGAAAATTTCAATCACAGACTAGCATGAAAACTAGTATATCTACTCGATTTCATGATGACTTTACTAAACAAGTAATTAAATTTCAAGAAAACACTATATAATCAGTGGTGGAACTAAGATTTTTCTCAGGGGGTTTAAAGTATAAAAAAGACGTTCAGGTAGTAATGTAAGTGTGTGGTGAGCGTAGTTACCCCTCGGCATGTTGTTTGAACAAAAACCATAGATATTTCATTGGTTCATAAAAATAAAGACTAAACTAATCAAAGATATCGAAGACAGAGATACATCAATAAAAATTTTAGTGGATCAACTGTATTACATAAGTTAATTCCTAAAACACGTGAAAATTAAATGATGAAAAAGGGAGCGAGACGGGTAAGAAAAATATTTACCTTATCATACTAAATTTAACTTACTTTATCATATTGTATTAAGCAGTTATTTCTACTTTTATCATGCTCCATCGAGCATTCTTTAAATTTCTTGTGCTTTTTATACTTTTATCTCGTAATGTTTTACTTTATTTTTCACTTTTAAAAAAAATTAAATTAGTATTCATTTAATCACATATTACTATAAAAATCGTCAAGAATCTCTAAAAGTGTGTAAGAATAGAGTTACTAATATTATAATGCATATTCAGAAGATAAATAAATAGCATCATCAATTTTTTTAGTTCATATAGTTCAATTACTAGGTTAGTTATAATTTGTAAAAAAGACAAATAACGAAGCAAATAAGTTTAGTTTCCATCTCTTTAAAATAGAATTTAAAATATAAAAGAAATTTCATGAATTCTATTAAATTAATATTTTTAAAGGATGTTGACGATATTTAAGTTTCTTCATTTAATTTCATCTAATTTACTTTTTTTTTAAAATAAATTATATTTCTATCTCAATTTCAAGGTAAATACAATTCATCATTTTTTAAAAAGAGTTACGTTGAAACAAAATGAATAATAGATATAAAAAGAATGTGTGTAATAAATTTAAACAAAAACAAATTAAAAAGAAGAAATGGTATAAAAGGAAAAATTATCAAAAAGAAGAAGAAGGTCTAAGCACAAAAGTTCTATTTTCTAAAGCATTAAAAAGAGGAACTCGTTACATAGGAGCATTTCTTGAACCACTTATCCACTGAGCCAAGCATGTCCTTTGTTTCAGGGGGTTCATTTCAATATATATATATATATATATATAAAATCAGAATTTGACGTTATATATACAGTGTAATCTTTTTTTGACGAATGGGTTTGGATCCCCCAAGCCTCCAACTAAGTCTGCCCTGGATCCGCTCTCTTTATTATTGTTGACGTTAGGGGTGTACATGGTGGGGTTGGTTCGGGTTTTTTAAATATCAAACCAAACCATTTGTGTCGGATTATTAAATCTATAAACCAAACCAAACCAAACCAATAAAACTCGAGTTTTTCAACCTTGGGTTTTTTTGGATTTTTTCGGGTTTTTCCGCTAAAGTATTCATACAAACATATAATTTACTTGTACTTCAAATATTTCTTCAGTCCTAACCAAAATACAACTATCTAAGGTGTTTCTTAAGAATACAACACAAACAATGATATGAATTAATGACAACTAAAATATACCAAAAAATAATAATAATAATAATAATGAAATCAACGTAAAACAAATATTGACAAATTAACAAGTCATAATGAAAATGATCATAATTTAAAAGTACTAAATCATGCTAGAATAAGTTTAATAAGTATTAGTTACATGACTAAATATTAAAGGAAATTAAAATTAGATTATGTACTTTAATTGTCTAAACCAATGTAAAACCAAAGAACAAATATTCAATATTATTGTCATTCTTAGTGTTAAATTGATTTTCTTTTTGCATTAGTATTACTTTGATTTTGATTTAAGTTTTATTATAATAACCAACATCTATGGACTATAATCATTATGGAACCATTCAAAATTCTAAGTTTCAAATTTGAAATAATATATTAAAAGATAAAAACTATGAAAAAGTATAAGAAATATTTAAAAATTATATCAAAGTAAATATTTTTATGTATAAAAATAAAATTTTAAAATTATATATATAATGTCGGGTTGGTTTTTTTTAGTTAAAACCAAACCAACCCAAATATAGTCGGATTTTTTTTTTCAACACCAAACCAAGTCAAACCAACCACTAGTCGGGTTTTTTTTCGATTTGACTCGATTTGCGATTTGATTCGATTTTCGGTTCGGTTTTGTACACCCCTAGTTGACGTGGTCTTGTCTAGATCCCTTAACACAATTTACTTTAAACCATGATTTTATTCCTTTCTCTATGCATATAAAGGGGCCTCAAATCACTCACCTTGTTCCCCCGATTGGGTCGTCCTACGAGACGTGAATTTCAAATAGTCGGACTTCAATACGAATATCGAATACTGGATAAAAAATCACTCACCTTAAATATGCTGATGACATGTGCTTATAGAATTTACAGATTGAGGACTCGTACTGGCTTTATGGTCAAAATATTTCTTTTTATTTATCTTGGATGTCCAATATCAAAGGCGTATCCAGGGTTTCGGGATGATGGGTGCATTATTACAAAAAGGTTGATCTAAAATATAAATTTGATCGGTTGGACATTTAGGTTCTTATTACTGAAAACCGTTAAAATTAATATTATAGGTCCAAAACTAATTAAAAATGTCAAAAAATGTTACCAATAATCATTTAGAGAGGTGTTATCTAATTTTACAAAGAAAATAAAACAAGATGAATATAAAATTCAAATTTCTAACCTCACGTAGAGAGGTGCACCCAGTCATCATCGCATTATATGATACTCCGAATATGGGTTCACACATCTATATTTCAATATTTTTCAAAAATATAACACTACTATATATGATCTCGGGAGGGGAGCATAGGTTCACGTGAACCCGGTGACCCCTCCTTGGATACGCCTCTGTCCAATATACTTTGGTAAAATGAAATTGTGTTGTTTTGTGGTATGCTAGCCAAGATCATCAAAAGGTTAAATGGCTGGCTAGGGAAATCCAACTAGCAACTTTTATTTTTGTTTATCAATATCACTACATTTTATTCCAAGTACATATATTTATGTATCACTTGATGTGGTAAGTCTCAATATCTTTGGTCATATTGAGGCAAAGTTTCATGAAAGTGTGTGGATCTGACACATTTGCATTCTTCTTTTCATATTCCAAAATCCAAGTAACTAAATTGTTTTCATCCTTTGTATCAACATGAGCAGTGATGCAAAATGATTTGTAATCCTCCAACAGATCTCCTTCAATTATCTTTTTTTTAATCAACTTCTTTTCTTCATCTATTTCTTCAACTATTTCCTTTACCACCTTCTCTTTCCCATCTGAAAAAGAAAACATAGTAAAGATCACTTCATACTATTAATTTCATTTTTAAATGATTGAGTGATTTGGATTGAATCTGAATGGGTTAAAAAATATTTGAATAAACAAAAGTGTTGGATCAAATTAATGACCCTTTATATATATATAGAGAGAGAGATTATTCTTATGTTATCATGTAAGTAATATAGCGAGAATCTAGATTAATTGAGCCAATAATAAATATTGAAACCAAATATAAAACACACTTGCCATGAGTGAAGTTCCAAGAGATAACAGAGCCAACAGTGCCCCATTCACCTTCATGAATGTCAACATTTTGTATCTTATCAGGGCACATGTTGAAAATATGATGTGGTCTATACCTAAATATTTCATGGAGAATATCTACTTCAGACTTGATCTCTATCTCAGAAACTAACTTTCTTTTAAGGCTCATCTCTCTTATATGATATGATATATCACAAAGTTATAATAACAAGTGTGTAGTTCATCCTTACATGAGTAGCTCTGCCCTTTTATAGATAGGCAATGCCCATATGTCTAGACTTATGACTATAAATTTTGTAACTTTTTTGCCCATGATTACATGACAGTAATAATAACAAAAAAAATACACACAATGCTAGATATTCTTCGTTTTTCATGTCTTTCCTTCAGATATGAAGATACTTTATTTATTTATTTATTTTATTGTTACTCTAGATTGTTTTAGCTAGACTTTAGTAAGATGACTTTTGGATTCTAGGGGTGTATATTTTAGACTCCTGCTATTATCTATTTATTTATCATTGAGACTTTAATTATGTACGTTGTTTTACTTCTATATTCTATTTAGATACTTAGAAATTACATGAGGTAGATGTTAAATTTTGATTCACCCACATCGGATTGATGTGGTTCCACTCACTATAATTTAGATTGTGATATTTTAATTTTTTATCTTGAAGATTTACACATAAGACCAGGAGTATCAAAAGTTTAAAACTTTCATTTTTAAGGTTATTGAATGTAATTTCCTATTAACAAAGAGTCATTTTTAATCATATTTTGCAAAATCTAAAAGAACATTATTTTGTGGCTGAAATATGAGATCGTTTCATTTACAATCCTCTCTCACACACAATAAACATGGCCTAATAGATATTAGGAAAAGAAAATTAAACAAATAGATATGACATTTAAAATTGAATAAGGAAGTCAAATAATTAAAATCCTTCAAATATTGGTCAAGAAAGTCAAATACTTAAAACGGAGAGGGGCCTAAAATGTCCTTTAAGCATTTGAATTGGTACAAAATTATCCTTCATCCACCTTTCGGCCTTAAAATATCCCTATCGTCCACCTTTTGGCTCAAAAATACCCTTGATGTTAATCCTTTGGCTCATATTTGCCCTTAATTTTAATAGCTTCCTTAAAGTAAAATTATGGGATAAGGGTTTGAAAAATACTCCAACTTTGGTCGAATTTGTTGTTGCGATACTAAACTTTCATGAGGACCTATTACCTCCCTAGACTAATTAATACCGC